CGAGAGGAGAGGAGCATTTGGTTCGAAGCGTGCACTTGGATATTGAATTCTCGTCTCAGCAGACAAAAACTTCAAGCGAGTACAGAAAGCCGGCTGCTAGACTGCTTGAACCTTGATTGTAAAATAAAACAATCCAATCACAACTGAACTCTGTCCACCCTCGCGGAACTTTTTAAACCCATCTGACTAAGAGGTAAAAGAAGCTCTCGGACACATAATTTTCCTCAATAATTCCGACGACTCTGGTGTGTTTGTTACTCGCTCTGTTGCGCATGAGGTTGAATGTCCAACTCACATTTGGACTATCACAACCGGTTAATGCTTCAGTCAAACTGCAATACAGATTTCTTCGGATCTCGGAAAGATAAGTTTGGTCACGTGGATGTGGTCTGCTTCTATGTTTTCTCACCCGCCCCCACTTGATGAAACATTCTTTCATGAAGGGCTATTCTAAATTCTCTCTTGACGCTTGTTGTACAACTTAGCCGCTTCCTTGAGGGTATCAGTTTTGTCCGGTCTGTCTTCCTTCTTTTCTGATATGAAATTCCAGTGATCATAAGGAGTACTGAATGGAATTGAATTTTTCTGCTCACCAAATCGAGTAACTTCTAGAACAGTTTGCAAACGCTAATGACGCGACTGGTAGTGGATGTATCAGTGGCGCACACGGACAATTCGGATACAAAGNGATGTATCAGTGGCGCACACGGACAATTTGGATACAAAGACTCACCTTCTCACCCTTCAGTCTGAGTAGACCCTGTGAAAAGTAGAAAAACAGCAAGATTCATACCAATACGATGGTACATTGTCCCTAAAACGAACGCGAGACTGTAAAAACGTACACTGAGCAGCTATGATGCGAAGAACTAATGATGAAAACTCACCTGCTTCAAGAGTTGCTCCACACAGGCACATGAATTCAAGCTGACATCCTAAAGGAAGGAAGTAAAACAAATGTATGAAGTACCAAGTGGAAAATTACCACTTGACAGAAAATTATTCGCCAAAAAATTTCCATTCAACACCAGAAATCTCTTTTATTTAAGCGTTGTTTTTCTATATCGTGTGGATTGAATCTGTTGACTTAGAGTTGTTTAATTCAGGCCGAAGAGTTTTCAGCAACCTTATGAGTAGTGTACTGGGTCTAGTCGTGCATTCTTTAGTTTCTAAAGTCACACTCATTCAGTGATTTCACACATTTGCTAAGAAACCGTAAACGGAGTTCGTACAAAGTACGCGTGCACGGAACGGTAGGTTGTTTGGAAAGATGCTTTTGACTATTGTCAAAAGACTAACGTGGTCGATTTTACTATGTTTAACCAATGAAGGAAGTGGGATCAACGTTCTTCGATATCGGTAAACAATTTCTCTCCAAAATCCGAGGGAATTCCAGGCTCATGACTCATCAACTTTGGATCGATAAATACTGTGGGGACCCATATATATATATACATATATATAGCAATATATAGTATACCAGATACTGTTTAGATGTTATATAATCACAGGCAAAAGAGAAGGAATTCACCCACTCAACCTCGCACTGACGATGTCACGTCGATCGCTGATGAAATG